GGGGGGTTTTTTGCAGAGTTTGGATTGGGGGGTTGGGGGTATATGATTGTGAAGTTAAAAAGTAAAACTTGGTATTGACTTTTTTTGGGGGGGAGAGTGTATGTGGATTAGTGGGTAGTTTGTGGAGCTGAGCAGGCATGGGCAGTTCTTGGACACTATTGTGTTGCTTTGCTGCATTTTTAGTGGTGTGTTTTGCATGAGTGCGACTTCGTAGTATGGGTGTGGTGATTGGGACGCGTTGTAAATATCTGTTGTGGGGGTTCGAAGGATGGGATGGGGGGTGGGGGATTTGTTTCTTGTGGGTAGATTGAGGGATTTAGTTGAGGGCTGTTTGGGCTGTGGGGGGGATAATGTATAGATAAGGAGTGTTTCATTGAGCATGTCTTGGTAAAAAAAGAGTAAGTACTGTCACGGGTGATTGTAGAGCGGCGTTGGGACACTATTGACCGATGTTCGTCTATTTGAACGTACTCAAGGCTGATGGTCTGGTAGTGGTTGCTTGTTTTCATATTGCACCATGCACTCTGATGGGTGACTACAATCTCGAGTATCAAAATTTACTGTTTGAGGTTATGGAAAATGCTTCTTTTCAACCCGAAGTTCTTTCAACATCAATCCAACCACAATGAACTACATCCTCAGCCTTCCAAGACGAAGAAGAACCTTCTCAATGTAGCGAGCGCCAACAAGGATTCCGTTCTCATCTTCAAATGCCTTTTCATCTCCAAAATCAACATTATCCGGATCAAGACACGTCAAACACGTCTCTACAATCTCCGCATACTTATCGCCCATGCTCCTTGGTAGGGGACATCGAGCGAGAGCGACGAAAAGATCTTTGTCTTTCTCAGACCTCGTTGTGAGCAGTTGCAAAAGGTTGTGCGCTCCGGTTGTAGGGTCGTATTCGACAAAGCTACCCCAGAGGCCAATTTCCAACAAACACATTCCCAGACTGCATATATCGTGGCGCATCTCGTAGTCATCGCGAGGGCTAAAACCTTGTCGAGATGGATGCCTATAAAGATTTTTGTCCGGTACATCATCGCCTTTCCTCGCTGTCCAGCCTTCGTCTCGTCGGAAGTTCTCAAAACCAACTAGGAACCCAGCCATACCTCCTCCATGGGCACAATCGAAGATGAGAACCGATTCCGGACGAACGTTTTTGTGTACGAAGCCGAAGGTATGCACATAACCAACGGACCTAGCTAGATCTCGAGCGATTTCGAGCCGTCGTGTAGTTGATGTGAATGTCGGTGTATTGAGTAAAATCTCCCGTAGGCTTCTAGGATTATGTGACGCTGGAGGCTCTCTGAAGACCAGTGTCAGTGAGAGAAGTTCTGCAGATCCCACTCTGACTGTTTCCGCGACGAAGCCCTTGCAATTCAACAAGCCGAAAGTGTATGGATCGTCGACCTGAAGCCTCCGCACGAGATCGCGGACATTGCGCTTTAGTATCTGCGGCTTCGCGCTAGGCTCACACTGTATGTGGTTGAGAATATACTTCTTTGGTGGCCCGCGTGAAAACGTTCTAGTCGCCACCTCGATGCCATCACAGAAGGGAACTGGATGAGCGACCATATTCTTTATGTCTTCGGGGTTCAAATTCAAGTGCTCTACTGCTGACATTGCAGAGGGTTCACTGCTGTTCTGCTGTAATGCAGCACGTATACTGACCATTGTCTTCGTATTTGTATCAGAGCCAGACTCACGGGCGCCACTGCTTGCAGCCAAAGCCTGGTCCACTTGCGTATCGGCAATTCTTAGTAACAGAAACCAGGATTGGTCGGCCAAGCCTTGCCATATCTCCAGATCCTTGATCGCTTCATCCAAGCTGCTCTTCTTGACTCCATATTTCCACCGACTAACCTTATAAGTAGGCGATAAAGTTATATTCTTAATCCCCAGCTGCGGCTTTAACAGATCTTTCAGTAGAGAGATGACGACTTCCAATCTGTTTTTGAGAACTTGCAAGGTCTGGTTGTACACCTCGCGTTGCTCGTCTTCCATCACGTGGTGGGTACTCTGTAGGAAAGTGAGCTGTGATAGGAACCGCACCCAATTATTGTCGAGCCGCAGACAACGCTCCGAAAACTCAGCGTTGGCATGTCTCAAGGCAGAGCACAAGTCTTTTCCTTCCTTGATATATCTGTTTCATGGGCAGAGTTATGAGGGTGGTCTCAGGGCGTCTTACTTTCGACAGAGATCAATAGTAGGGGGAATCGCTAGCAAAAGTTCTGCCGACATGTCGAACAGACCACACAGTTACTGCTGGAATAAACGTCAGAATAAGACTGAGATTGTCGTGGTCAGCGACAGGCTGAAGGCGTGAAATGAAACGATACCCCCAGAAACATGGCATGTGAAACTAATTATGAGGCGGTAAATGCTGATCATGCGATATGCCCAAGCCTTTACCGCAGCGAATCGGGTATGATTTCCTGACACAGATCGGAATACTTGCTGCCTCGAGAACGTCTGATGCTGGATCCAATTAGTGATGAGGATGAGTTGATGTGTCATACTCTAGTGAACCACTGTTGCACGATTTGTGGCTTTCAGCTCCCATCTTGATTTGCTGGCCGTAAAGCTGAAGCGGATGTAGACACATAGCCATGTTTTCCCGACCGGATGAACTGTCAGGTTGATCCAAAGCTGAAATCACGCTTATTTACATTGCCCCCGGCAGACTCAAAGTGTGCACCATCACCCCCACTCATCGAAAATTTCCTGGCTCTCTTTCGCTGTGAGAGAATACGGCCGGATATCTTGTAATCCTGATCTCGCGACATTGCTGCTCGAGAAGTCAAATGATGCAATCACGCAGTTTACCGGAACGTGTTCAGGAGTCAGAACTACAGGTAACCATTCATGATAACATCACTGTCCACATCGAGCCACTCGAATGCCGGGAGGAATCCTCGCCACAAGTTTGGGTGACCAAGAGGACCCTCGGTCGCGGAGGCGACGGTACCGTCTTTTTGCAGCAAAAGGTTGAAGGGCCCGGCACCATCGATATGCTCGCCGTTAAACAGATGAGCCTCGACCATGATCTTGCGTCCGAAGACCACAATAGCAAAAGATATGTACGCGAGCTCGAGGCATTAGCCAAGTTTGGGCAGCCAAGAGTAAGTTATACGCGGGGGGGTTTGTTCGTATAGGTTAGTGATGTTTAGCGCAGTATTCACGCTACTTTGTGAGATCATATGGTTGGTATCAAAACGCTGGCTGGCTCTATATCTGTATGGAGTACTGCAAGTACCTGGACCTTGGAAAGCATCTGAATATCTATGGAGCTCTATCGGAAGAAAGTGCTAGAGCGATTGCTCTACAAGTACTTCGGGGACTATTCCAGATGCACGAAAACAAAATCGCCCATCGAGGCATAAAACCTGCTGTAAGTACCACAAAGGTAGCAGCGACCGTATTGAAAGAAGACTAAGACAATTTATAGAATATCATGGTACATCGCAAACCCCCAATAGACGATGCATAGTGGGTTGTGCTTGGCGATCTCGGTCTTAGTCGACACGGCGATCTTTCTTCAGGATCGACTACGATACGTGGTACTCCAAGCTACATGGCCCCAGAGACTATTGGGGCACCTTTTTTAGGTCGACCAAACGACGCAGACCCATTTCGAGCTGATATGTGGTGCTTAGGGGAGACGATAGCATATGCTCTAACGGGACAGAATACGTTCTCTGGCAGTAAACAACTGCTCAGCTACCAGAGACACAGCATACTCTTTCCTGACAGCGCTTTGAAGCAGTCATCAGCAAGTGTTGACGCAATCGACTTTGTTCGCTCTCTACTGCAAGCGGATCCTTTGCGGAGACCAACTGCCTCTCAAGCACTTCATCACCCTTGGATCAATGGTAATCGCGCCCCACAGTCGCAACCACGCAAAAACTTCATTGAGCTTATATCTGGTCACACCAAAAACGCTTCCAATCGAGGGTTTACAAATGTGGATAGGATTACAGAAGCTTCGGCACAATGGACGCAGACGGTGTCGATGAGAGTGAATGAAGCAAATACTCAGCCAGAATCGCCTATGCGCACTGCTGTATCCCCGACGATTACTCCGAATCTCTCTGATAGATCTATGGTCCCTCATAGTACATCGATTTCCGCAATCGCCCGTCGCAAAAGAGTATTTCCTCCCCGTCAAGCTTCAAGCCCAACTTCCTCTAAACGATCTGAAGTCGGTTTTGATGATGCCTATGCGAATTCCAAAGACGTGATAGAAGATCTAGCCGATAGAACTGAATCCTCTGATGAAGGATGACTTGCTCAACTCATTCAGGCAAGTTCAACAAGCAGAAAAAGTTCGCATATGAGAAAGGCAAAGGCAAATGCAGAGAGGCAACCTGCAAAAGCGCAATATGAACTTAAGAAATTTACAGAGGAGTTCAGGAAAAGACTTTCTGTCTAACCGGACACACGAACATGCAAATTTAATGGAAATATTTTTGGCGCACATATCAACTGGAATGAGGCATGTCATCAGCGACGCTAGTAAAGCAAGTTGCTGTGGTACTGCGACATAAGACTCACAGCCCACCATCGCAACCTACACATCCAACGCTGTAGTAATTATAAGCCGATCCCAACTCAACTAGAGAAAATCAGAAAGTTGTTGTGCAGTTACTCAATCCAATGTGAAAAGAGGGCTGGAGGCTCAGTAGAGGGATGATTGCCCATGGCTCGCTCAGTGTAGGACATGACGCAAGACGCCTGGAGAGAGATGAAGAGAAGGGGCGATACAAAAGAACGATCTGACAATGGATGAGTAGATAGTACTGCTGGAGTGATATATGAATGTTCTGAGATTCGACTGGTAGAGAAGTCCTGTACTAGAAATGGGTATCAGGACACCACAGATCTGGTTGTCGGTCAAATGAGTTGTACGGCTAAAGCCAATAATATATGCTCTGATTCTTTATAGTCTTCTGGTATTTAGAATCGTAATCAACAGGGGATATGTTGAAAGCTCTAAGTATTGTTCAATACGGGAGGGGAGATGTCCAGTAGACATGAGGTGGGGTTGGGAGACTAGAATTACGCCTTGAGTGAAGATCTGGGCGTGTAATTATTCGCCACTGAGGTAGGACATGAACAACTGGTTGCACATGCTCTAACTTCATAGATCGTACTTTGAGATTCATTGAAGTGTAAATGAGAAAGTTCGTAAAGATCGTACAAGCTGACAGAATCTTGGGAGCTGGACGGAACAAATGGTGATGACGGGGGTCGTCGGTGTATGGTTCAACCGTACTAGCGGCGGGTGGTCCAAGCGCTAGCCGTGGATCTCTCTACATCACTGACAGCCGCAACACCAAAGCAAACAACACAACGCGGCTTCATCCCACTTCTCTGTTCTTTTGATAGCTTCCTCGCATCCGCCGCAACTGCTTTGTCCGAGAGCGAATAAGTAAAGCAGCACCCAGAACAAGCCACATCACGACCCCGCCACCATGTCTGCCGGAGAGGTGCTCAAGGCCGACAAGGACTTTACGAAGGAGGTCGATGCGGCGATTCCAGAGGCAGAGAAGCTAGCTTCTGTATGTTGGACAGTCATTCTATTGTTCGGCAAAAGCTAATGGATTTGTTTAGAGCAATCCCCAAGCTGGAATCGATAAGCTGCTCGCACTCGAGAAGCAGACTCGCCAGGTAGACCCGCACATATCTCGCGCGCATAAGCAAGCTCTAACATGGCCTAGGCTTCCGACCTCGCCTCCACCTCCAGAGTCATCATTGCCATCGTCACAATAGCAAAGAATGCAAAGGATTGGAACTTGATGAACGAGCAGGTCCTGCTCCTTTCAAAGAAGCATGGACAGCTCAAGCAAGCGACCACTAAGATGGTGCAGACCGTCATGGGATTCTTGGATGAGACACCAAATCTGGAGACAAAGCTGTCGGTCATTGAAACACTGCGCACTGTTACCGAGGGCAAGGTAAGCATCGACAATGGATGACACACGCGACACTGCTAATGCATTATTAGATCTTTGTCGAAGTCGAGCGAGCGCGGGTAACACGTATACTTTCGAACATCAAGAAGGAGCAAGGCGATATCGACTCTGCGACAAACATCCTCTGCGAGCTCCAGGTTGAGACGTTCGGCTCCATGACCCGGCGAGAGAAGACCGAGTTCATCCTACAGCAAGTGGCGCTATGCATACAGAAGGGTGATTGGACACAGGCTGGTATTCTCAGCAGGAAGATCAGCACACGATACTTTGCACGAAAACCGAAGAAGACGCCCGAGCAGCTAGAGAAGGAGCAGAAGGAGCGCGAGGAGAAGGAGAAGAACCGAAGCGTAGATGACCCTCCGATTGAGCCAGAGGATGACGTAACGGATCTTAAGCTCAAGTACTATGAGCAGCAGATCCTCCTGGCGAAGCACGATGACAAGTACCTCGATGTCTGCAAGCACTACCGCCAGGTACTAGACACAGAGGCCGTCGAAGAAGACCCAGCCAAGCTTCGGGCGGTATGCGATACCCCTCTCTAATGTCTGGACAAATGCTGACCCTACAGATTCTTCAACGCGTCATCTACTTCATCATCCTCGCTCCGTACGACAATGAGCAGTCCGACCTCATCCACCGTATCCAGCGCGACTCGCGAAACTCTCAAATCCCACAAGACGCACAATTGGTGAAACTCTTCACTGTGCCTGAGCTCATGAGGTGGCCAATGGTAGCCAAGCAGTTTGGCCCTCACCTCACCGAGACAGATGTCTTCGACGCCGAAAAAGGCGACTCAGATGATCCAAAGGCATTCCAGCGGTGGCAGGATCTGCGAAAGCGCGTCATTGAGCACAACGTCCGTGTTGTGGCAAAGTACTACACACGTATCCAGATCCCGCGCCTTACCGAGCTGCTGGATTTGACCGAAGACGAAACAGAGAAGAACATCAGCGAGCTGGTTTCTGCAAAGACCATCTACGCCAAGATCGACCGTCCCGCTCGCATTGTCACATTCTCGAGACCCCGGGACGCTGATGACGTATTGAATGAATGGAGCAGTAATATGAAGAGCTTGCTAGGTCTTCTTGAGCGCGTTGACCATCTCATCACCAAGGAAGAAATGATGGCGCGCATTCAGCCAACAAAGGTGGACAAGAGCAAGGCGGCTAAGGGCAAGGCGAAATAAGGGTCATACCAATCTTCAGCTATCGGCAATCGCTTCAAACGTGCTGACTGGCAGATACTTGTGTACCGACTTCGTTATGCTTACCACTCATGATACATGAAGAAGGGTTATGATTAGTCTAGACATTGCCGAACTCTCAAGGTTCCGCGCGAGTTGTGTATGTATAATAGACATCTGATCAAACTTTGCAGTCCTTGGGTGCTTTCAGTTTCGATGTTGCGTTAATGCGGTTCGTCTTGAGGAATGACATCAAACTTAGGCCTACCCTGTCGCGCTAGGCCACGACAGAGCCGCGGTATCTCGAACGTCCCGCATCCGGGGTACTTACCGAAGTACAACGCTTTTATATACTAGTACGCAGACCTTCTCACTGACTCTGATAACTCTAGTTGCAGCCACTGTATGCGCCTGCAGCACATCCTCTCCCTCGCAGACCCCCGCCTATACACACGCACCAATCTCCGCGTCCGTTCCCACTGACGCACCATGGCCGCCGCCGCGCCCCCGCCCAACCGGCCGATTAAGATCCTAATGCTGCACGGCTACACGCAATCCGGACCCTTATTCCAAGCCAAAACGGGCGCTCTCCGCAAAACCCTCAACAAAGCCTTCCCCAAAGGCATCGAGCTCGTCTACCCCACCGGCCCAATCCGCCTCACCCCCGCTGACTTCTCCCTCATCACCGGCGCCGTCACCGAACGCACCTCCGCCCCGGACGCCGACGAAGAACTCGATGCCTGGGCCTGGTGGCGCAAACCCAACACCAACGATGGCACCTACTTTTTCGACGGGCTAGACGAAGGGTTCGCGCATATTGCCTCCATCCTCAAAGAACAAGGGCCCTTCGATGGCGTCATTGGATTTTCCCAGGGCGCAGCTGCAACAGCCATGGTTGCATCGTTGCTCGAACCCAAGCGCAAAGAAGCATTCGACGCACAGCAAGCAGCCGGCACCGGAATCCCCTTTCCGTTGTCCTTTGAGGGAAACATCCACCCTCCGCTCAAATTCGCCGTTTCATACAGCGGCTTTGCCGCCATTCCCCCGCCCTCGCCGTCACAAGATACCAAGGCAGCATCACGGTACATTGCGTTTTACGAGCCGGAGATCGAAACCCCCATCTTACATTTCTTGGGGACACAGGATGTAGTTATTGAGGAAGCGCGTAGTCTGGCGCTGGTGGAGCGGTGTAAGAGGAAAGAGGACAAGTACGTCGTGTATCATCCTGGAGGCCATTTTTTGCCGAGTACGCAGAAGGCGAGTGTGAATGCGCTGGTGGGGTTTATTAGGGAGGTGCTTTGGGAGCAAGAGGCGGCAAAAGAGGAGGATGATTTGGAGGATACTATGGGACATTTTGATAAGAAGCCTGTGGTGGGGGAGCGGGAGGCTAAGTTTCACCTTTGAGATGGTTTCCTTTTTTAGGGAGATTACGTCCATAAAGCGAAAGAATATGGGTTAGATATAGATCGCCTCCATTTACTAGATAGATCATCTTTACAGTAGGTTACAACGAAGACACGTCTGTTAAACACAAAGCCAGGATTGAAGTATTCAAAGTCTCATTCATCTGTCTTAACGTGACTAGAGCGGAGGTAAAGGAAAAGAAAGAAAGACTTAAGTGATTCCAACCTCCATAGGAGTGAATGTGTGTGTGTGGAAAACGCCGTCCCACCGTCCATGCAATGCCCTGCCGTATCCTGTACCCATGTTCCATAAACACCAACGAACCCAAAAAAGACGGATATCAGGAACCACGCAGATGCCAAAAGCATGCAAAGATGCAACCGCCTCTCTCTCTCACTACACCTGGCAGACTAAAAGGCAATTCCACGGGCGCCAGCTCTTGCGAGGAGGCAGCAACTCAGACTGGAAGCCAATCGCCGCCGCGATGAAGGAGGGGAGCGAGTAAGAAGCAAAAGCACAACTTCGACACCTGCTGGTAACCTTTGAAAACAAGAAAACAAAAAGCACCAAACACCTTTATCCCAATACCGAACCGCCCAATGCATACATCATGTCACAAACCCCCGCAGGTAGCATAGCTTCGTACCGTCGGCACCACCTAATCTAATATTTAAAAGAGACGCAACTTCCTAGGCGGGCCTAGTGAGCTGTTGAAGAGAGAAGAATCTACTGGACGCTTCTTGATTGTTGAGAAAGCGTGAGGAGCAGGCTTCACAGCCGAGAAACCCGATTTCGACGGAGTAGCGGCGAGGAAGAGTGGCCTAGAGGGAGTCTTGATGGCAGCCTTGCTGAACAAGAAAGTAGACTTCTTGTTGGGGACGGTGCGAGGAGCAAGGGGGCTCCTGTCGAAGAAGGCACCAACCTCGCTGTTCTCCTTGTCGTCGTTGAAGGAGCGGTCAAACTCGGAGCTGGTAGGGGTGCTAGGCATCTTGCACTGCGACGAAGGAGGAAGAGCGTACTTAGAAGGTGTCTTGGCGGGTGTGAAGGGCTTCATGGTAGTGGTTGGGAGTGGAGACGCTGGCTTAGCAACGGAGAGATCAACCAGATAGGGATCTTCATCCATACGCTTCTTGTTTGACTCGCTGTCCAAGACCCAACCGACATTGACGCACTTGATGGCACCTTTGCTCGAGAGACACTTCTCTAGCGTCGACATGCTTCCATCCTTGAAAAGAACGTGAGTCAGAGAAGCATGTGACATGTCCTTGACGACCTTAGCACCAAGGTCCTCTAGAAGACCACGGAACAAGAAGTTTTGTTCTTTTCCGTTACGAGTGACATCGACGTAGAAGACGGTGCCCTGAAGGATGCCGTCGTCCATGAATATCTCGCTCTCGTCAGCTTGAACATCAGTCCAAGCAACAGACTTCTTCGGAGTCTTGGTGTCCATAACCTTCATTGGCGACCTCAGCGCGGACTTCTTCGGTGATGCTGGCTCTGGCGCTGCGAACGTGGGAGCGAGTTGCAGGGGCTTGAGTGGCATGCTTGCTTTTAAGTCACCGAAAGAAGGGGCCTTGATGGCACTCACAACATCAACTTCGCTGAATTCACTAGCTTCAGTAAGCTCACTGACATCGCCAATCTCGCTGGTCTCGTCGAAACCGAAAGAGACCTTCTCCTTACGGCTGGAGTAGCGTATAGGTGAAGGCGTTTGCTTCTTGACAGATGCAGTAATCTCTTCCTGAAGAGCAGCCTCAAGAGCAAGACTAGGCGTAGTTGGGTAGTCTGGCAACTCAGCGAGAGCTCTGCGTGGAGTAATTGGTGCCACAATGTGAGCAGGAGTCTTTGGATAACCGGGGAGTTCTGCCATTGCTTGTTGCGATGTGACTGGAGCAGTGATGTGAGATGGGGTAGCCGGGTATTCAGCGGGGAGCTCCTCGAAGGCTTCTTGATCAGTGACGCCCCAGACAATCTGCGCAGGAGGGGTGCCAGGAAGATCGGCACATGCCTCTGGGGTAGGAGTAGTGGCGTGGTAGGGTGTCTCGGCTGGGACAAGGAGAGGAGACTTGGCTGCTGGTGTAACGGAATTGTCGGTGGTAGATAGAAGATTCTCAGCCTCTTCTTGTTCGTTGACGGCAGGAGCCGCATCGTCATGAGATTCTTCTGGTGCATCAGTAGAGGCAGGAGCCTCAATTTCTGCATCATTCATAACCTCATCATGTTCGGATGGAGAAACCTCCTGTGCCTCTCCCATCTCGACATCGTGGTCGGCAACCTCAGCCTCAGTCTCAGCCTCTCTCTCTTCGGTGGGAGGGATAACAGGTGCAAGAATGTGAGCAGGTGTCTTGGGGTAGTCGGGCATCTCAGCCATTGCGTCCTTGATAGAAATGGGAGCTTTGATGTGAGCTGGGGTCTTGGGGTATCCTGGCATCTCCGACAAAGCATCCTTAGTGCTCATAGGTGCACTGATGTGCGCGGGTGTCTTGGGATAATCAGGCATCTCAGCCAGTGCAGCTTCAGAGCTGATTGGGGCCTTGATGTGAGCAGGCGTCTCAGGGTAGTCGGGCATTTCGGCCAGAGCATCTCTTGAGCTGATGGGAACCTTGATGTGTGCTGGTGTCTTGGGGTATCCGGCGAGCTCCGCAAGCGCGTCCTTGTTAGAGACGGGCGCAACAATGTGTGATGGGGTGTTGGGATAGTTGGGAAGCTCAGCCAAGGCTTTCCTTGAGGTTATTGGCGCTGCGATGTGTGCGGGTGTGGTAGGATATTCGGGGTATTCTGCCATAGCCACCTCGACTGGCTCATCAACCAACGCCTCTACTGGCTGCTCGGCGGACTCCTCGACTGGCATCTCGACAACCTCCTCAGCTACATCTTCAGAAGCCTCAGTCTCAGCCTTTGGAGTTGAGATCGTGACAGTCTTCTTTGTGGGTTTACGGGCTGGCGCCTTGAGAGGTGATTCTTGTGATATTGTGGGGGCATCTCGTCCGCGTGTAGTTCTTGGTGCAAGTACAGGTACAGGTGCAGCTTTTGATGCTGGCGCAGAGGCCGAGGCTTTGGGTACTGCCGGTTTACGCGTGCGGGTTGCTGGCTTGGTGGTTTCGACCGCGGTAGGCTCCTCGACGATTGGAGTCTCGGTCTTCTTGGTGACAGGTGCCTTTTTGGCGGGGGCCTTGCGCGCCCGTGACGCGGCCTTTGGAGCTTCTTCGACAATGGGCTCCTGAACGACTGGGTCTTGGGTGGCCACTGGCTCTGCGGCCTTTGACGCAGCCGTCTTCTTCACTGGAGCGATCTTGCGCGCTCGAACAACCGCTGGCTTGGGTGCCTCTTCATCAGCTTGAAGCTCGTCAATGTCGTCGGGCTCCTCAGCCTTGCGGCCGCGCGTCGCTCGCTTTGGTGCAGCAGGTGCTGGCTCTGCTTTTGTCTGAACTTTTGTTGTGCGTGTTGTTTTTGTCGCGACAGTCTTCTTGGCCACTGGGGGCTCAGCGTCTTCAGGCTCGGCCTTTGCTTTGCGTTTTGCAGCGGTTGTTTTGGTGGCCTTCGCGGGAGCTGGTGCAGGCTCAGCAGCTTGTTCAACAACAGTCTTAGTTCTGCCGCCGCGCTTGGGAGGGGCACTGAGGGTGCTGGAGGATGCAGACGAGGCCACTGGGGCCTCTTTCGCACCGCGACGTGTAGCGACCATAATGAATATCGATGTTCGCTATCTTTGGGTGTGTGTATGTGGTTGCTGGATTGTTAGTAGGAGAGAGGATGAGTTGAGTATGTGTGGGCGTGCTTGCCCGTGTTGTGTTGTCAGAGCGCAAACTGCCGCTAACTGTGTTTGGGTGCTGTTGTCCCGACAACAGTGGTATCACCCACAAGCTAACTCTATTAGGACTGCCGGATGTTCGGGATCAATCGACAACCATCTCTGGCCAGGTGGACCGGGCGATACCAACCGACAGCTGTCTCTCATCAGCCACACACATCAGCCACGCGCATCAACTCACTGTCCATGACAGCCAACACCACCGGGTAGTGCTTCCCTAGCCAGGCAAAGCGTCTGCTCCATATTCGGCAAGCGAAATATACGCTCATCAGACTTCGGTTTATCTCAAGTACTTTGACTGCCTACTGTGCCCTGTGAACTTGGTCGCTGGAAGGGGGTGTGTGTGTCCAAAGCCTTCCACGGAGTATGCGGACGGGTGAGGCCCAGGACTTACGGTGGTGTAACACCGCCTGGCTCCACCTATTCGCGGGGAACAAAGCCCACCATTCAGTTTCGCCCATCTACGATATCACTTCTGGTAACATCTGGAGCCGCCCATGGTGCTTTCGATCAGCAGGCATACTATGATTTTCTCGTCCACATACTACTTGGCATGTCCACATATACAGCTGCCCCACATCCTCAAACGGCGTACCACATGATAGCATACACCGCCCACTGAACCCACTACCCATGTATACACTGGGCTTTAGAGACTGTCGGTCCCAGAAGCCTCATGTGCCCTTTTCGGCCTCGTAGTGGTGTGGCAAGTCTTCTTTTGAAAGGTTCAAGACATTATAGGATCTTGGCGTGTATGCCGCGTCAACGTGGACCTGATTTGGTAGATGTTCAAACATCCTCCATCCTGCTGTCGATCCGCGCCCCACATGTTGTATGGGTGGATGGGTGAGTTTTCATCATTTCCAATTGGTATTTCATTCAGAGCGTTTGCTGTTCACCATCTTGAATTGGTCACTATGGGAAGCTCGGTCCTAGCCTCCAGTAACCGGGATATCTACGAACGTCTCATGAATGATACCGAGGCTTCAGAAACTTCCATCCGGATGCAGTTTTCTTCATCGGCCCTACCTGGTCAGGCAGAAGGGAACTCTTGATGCAAATTCTGTTGCCCCACGACCAGGATGCCATTGCCCAGAGTCGTGGAACCATACAGTGGGTGAGTGCTCTGCCTATGATATTACAAAGGCAATATCACCTGCAGCAGTGTTTGATATGCATATGAAATTACAGGGACTTTGTTGATCAAGTGGATAGCGTGATCTGACAGGCGTCACCAAACCCATAATCGATTTTCTTGGTTTGGCTTCAAAGTCTGGTTGACCATCAGCCCATCATAAGACATAATGGAATAGATTGGAATAAAAGCACCTTGTTACCCAATGACTATTCTGATTTATATTAACCTAATATACCTCAGCAATGAGCGATGGTAGCCATCCTGTGGTCCGGCAAATAGCCATTTGATCGTTGTCCCATCGAGCCATTGCAACTGGGCCACACGCATTTAAGAGAAAGCTTTATAACATCTGCTTCACATTCCATTCTTCGTGTACCTCCATCCAAACCCATTATTAAGCCTTATTGTTCAAATCTTTGGCCCTCAAAACCGAACTAGGATGCATTGGAGTAACATTATCCTTACTGTGGCGGCTCTCGCCAACACGGCTATCGGGCAAAACATGTTACGATTTGCATGCTCGCAGCTCGTCGTCGAGCGTACAGACCCTCTTGTAAATCCCGGCATGAAGTACACTCCGCATCTACACCAGATTGTAGGAGGCGACGCCTTCAACATCACCATGGATCCCTCAATCGACCTCGCAAAAGCATCCACATGCACATCCTGCAGCTTCGTACAAGACAAGTCAAACTACTGGACAGCCGTTATGTTCTTCAAAGCCAAAAACGGGACTTATATCCGCGTGCCTCAGGTGAGTAAATACACCAGACAGAGTAAATATATAGGCCACCATGACTAAGTCATAGCACACCAGATCGGCAACGGCGGACCCCAAGGCAAGCTCATCAACGACGGAGGTCTAGACATTTACTACATTCCCAGCGGCAAGACAACCGCCTTCAAAAAAGGGTTCCGCATGCTCGTCGGCTCTGCCACCAACAAAGACCCCAGCAAAGTCAAACTCTCAAACATCTGCCACCGCTGCTGGACCTCGCCCTCGGAAGACACCTTTGTAGGCGGCGCCCCCTGCACTGGCTCCGACACCGTCGACATCCCCAAAGACCCAAAGTGCAAGCTCATCCGCCAGACCATCATCTTCCCCGCCTGCTGGGACGGCAAGAACCTCGACTCACCAGACCACCAGAGCCACGTTGCTTACGGCCAGGGCAGCGGCGCAAACGGCGGTGGTGCGTGTCCGTCTAGCCATCCCGTTAAGCTGCCGCAGATCATGTACGAACTCATGTGGGATGTGAGTAAGTTTGCAGACAGGAGTTTGTGGCCGACGGATGGGTCGGATCCGTTTGTTTATTCTATGGGTATTGGGTAATGTCTCCATTTCTTATCCATGTCCTAATTCCATATGGAGGCTAACTGAGGATATTGGTAGTGGATCCGCTGCCCATGGCGACTACGTGTTTGGCTGGGAGGGGGACTCGCTGCAAAAGGCCATGGACAATGGATGCAATTTGAATAATGCCTGTCCCAAGGCGGGGCTTACGACGCAGCAGCCTGCGCAGTATAATGCTTGTAAGAAGAAGCAGCAGGCGCCTGAGCAGGTGGATGGATGTAAGTTTTGTGTTCTGTTTATGTCCGAGCTACTCGCTTTGTTCATTTCAGTACTGCTATCGGGTATGTTGCACCAACTAACCATCGAACCAGGGCTCAAGTCTTTGCCGCTTGGAGACATGCCTATGGGGGCCTAGACATATTTATCAAGTTGCTGGGGTACTATTACTATCGCAGGGCTTTCATCTTTTTTAAAGCCCCCAATGTTCCAGGGAATGCTGTATGAGGGTCAGCAACCACATTCACTTGTACTTTCCGCTAGAAAAGCCTGCCCGTAAATCATATAAACCGCTATTGCTATACCCAAAAAACGTGTCATACATCAATCCATGAATTCACATTCTACAACGAACCCCCATCAAGCAGCCATAACTATATAGCCAAGCAAAAAGATCCACGGCAACTCCCGTTCAATGTCCTGCCCCTACACCCCATTCCTCTCCAACAACGCCGCCCACCCCTCATTCCTCCCAGCAGTAAAGTCATGGGTAATGTAATTGTATACATCATGCACTGGGATACTCGCACTTGTCGAACCCGGATTACTCACTTTACCCTGCGAGCACGCAAATGCCAACCGCCTACTTCCACTCGGCTCCACATACACCGGCCCAGAAGAGCCATTGTACGAAGTACACCCCGTGCACTTGACTGTGAATTGCCAGTGCGTGCTGTTTGATTTGTTACCCGTGGAGAGCGGGGTGTAGGTTGCAGAGGGATACTGCTGGGGAGTTGAGTGGCCACTTGTTATATCTGTTAGCAATCTCTCCGTTTTTTCTCTTTCCTTTGGGATTTTTCTGTGGATGGGGGCTTAGGAGAGGGAAAAAAGGGAGGTAGGGGACGTACGTAGCCCAGCGGGAAGATACGGTCGGTTTTTGACCGTTGGGATACGAGACGGTGAGTGGATTGCGGACCATGTTGCCACCCCATGCGAGCCCGACCCAGCCTAAGGAGCTGGGAGCGATGACTTGGAGGACGATGTCGTAGGGTTGACTTGTGGAAATGTTTGCGGGCTGCGCTATGCGGTAGATGATGTTGCTGGTGAGGGTGGCTGCGGCCTTGGTTTCGGAGAAGGTGAAGCCGGTTTCGGGGTCTTTGTAGCTTGTCGAGCGTTTTGATAGAGTGTGATCGGTTGATGTTGGCCATGCTTGAGCTGGTGGGTGGTGTTAGGATAGGGAATGGGTCACTGGTGCTGTAGGGCTTACCAAGATTGGCTATGGCCGCGAGGCTGCCTGTGAAGCGCATGATTATCGTTTTGCCTTTCAGTCGATCAATTGGGTGTTGGAGACTCAAATGCTGGCACTGATGCTACTGAAGTGTGAATATTATCGTGTCACAAGAAATATCTTAAGCAAAGGGATAAACTGATAAGAGGCTCTCAAGTGTGCCAAGGTGGTACACTACCATTTTATTAACTTAGATAACCTCTGTAGAGTATACCGAAGCGATATGTGTGCACATGGCAATGATGATCCAGGATAACAGCAAATTTATCCAGGTCTAACACGTGTGACAACAGTAGCCATGGCCAGGAAGTAAGGCTACGAGGTGGATAAAGCATGTGGCCATGTCGATAGGAAGAGTATCAATTGCCTATCGAATCACCTACTAGAGAACTTGATTGCTTGACATTTCTTATCCAACGGGCCCTTGTTTCTGGAAGTCGGATCTGCGATGTGACAACCATTAACTAGGTTATGAGTGGCTGAACCTTTTATCCGCATAGTGTGTAGAACATAGAATGAGAGACCCATGTACTCGGGAAATTGAATGAACCCAAGAGTCAACATACATCAGAGAAAGGCTTGTGCAATGATGAAATCATCGCATTCTCCGGCCCGAGAGGGACTGAAAATTTGCAGTAAAAGTGCAAGAGACAGGATCTGAAAAGTAAAAGCATACGTAGATATCCCAGCTCACTGGGAAGGACTCCGTTTCGCGACGTTTGATTCACCCAAGCATGTGTAACTTTGACGTAACATCACAACTTGATACTAGAAATTTCGTCTCGCTTGGGAAAACCTCCTCTCCCCACATTTTGCGTGTGGGGCTTTCCATGAAAAGCTCACATGGTCTAATGTGCTGTGGCACAGGAACGTTTCGGGTCACGAAATAGATTGAAAATTGTGGGACACCACCATATCCGCCGCCTAAAGCGCAACATGGGGCGATGTTCCATGTCCAAATTCGGAGGCTATACGTCAATCTGTATGCTACCTGCCATCTCCTGTCCGGGGGTTTAACGGACCGGCTAAGTACCGGAAAAAAATAAAACAACTCATAACTACCACTCGTATCACCTAGGAAGACGTATCCGTGTGAATATTAGTGCAGTCAGTAAGACCGTTGATCGTTCTTCGAGGGCTTGAATGAGTAGCGAGGTGCGTTAATTATAGCAGCTAACGATCATGGGAAATACCATCTCGTTCCAAACGCATGGAATGTTTAAACATTCCAATGGGGTCTGCTTAGTGCTGAGTAAAGCTCTGCAGCTTCTGTGCTAGCACGCATATCGACCGCAAGATACCCATCTTGATTTGGTGTGCGCCTCCAGATCTCGCAAACCAGAATGCAGACCCGAGCAGAGACACAATGCCGACACCAACGACTCCGTTGAGTATCTCCGCTTGATGTTGAGCTGCCTTTTGTACCTCGGAATATCGCATATTGCTGAATGTTACTCTTGAGTATTGGGTAGCCCATCCAGCGCTGGGAACGTAGATGTACAGTTTCTCCTCAACCCATTTCCTCAAAAGATACAACGGCTTCTTGACATCACTCGCCATCTCACGGTAATTGCCCAGAGCAAGATCATTTATGGCTTGCGCGTCTGGGGTGCGTTGTTTGGTGTATTCACTCAATGCCATGGATCGATCATTGGGGTACTTGTCGATAAACTCGAATAAGACGCGGACATCTTCCAGTCCGGCATTCATTCCCTGGCCGTAGAAGGGCACCATGGCGTGGGCAGAATCTCCCAGAATGACACCAGAATCTCCGTAATGATACGGTGTGCACTTGATGGAGATCAAAGGCAGATGTGCATTCGCCTTATATTGTTGACGGAGATCGTCTTCGGTAATAAGATCTGGCACCACGCCTGGGAACTTTTCATTGAAATATTCGACGACCTTTCCAGAGGCATCAAGCTCTTCAAAACCCTCTCTTGTCAAGAAGAGCGTAGAGGTGAATGTCTTGTCAAGGTTTGGCAGAGCAATGAACATGGATTCATCCTGAGGCCAGATGTGTAGGTAGCCTGGAGGTATTCGAAAGTCGCCATCTGGTCCGGCGGGGACATGAAACTGGCACCAGAGCTTGTCAATGTATTCCTGATGGAAATACATGGGAACAAACTTCATGAGATGGTATCGCACGGCTGAGTGAGCACCATCTGCACCAATCATGAGGTCAAAGCTCAGCTCGAACTCATCACCCTGCTCTTCGGGAGAGTTGGGGCGATGTTCAAACCATGCAATCTTCTTCTTGAAGTCTGCGCCCACAAGTTTATGGTTGAACATGAGCTTCACATTGGGCATAGCCTCCAAATGATCAAGAAGGGTTTTGTTCAGACCAGTTCTGTCCATGGCCAACAAACTCTGGTGTCATCAGTACAACCCTGAACACATGATGCAGTCACACTCACTCGCCCTCTTGCATCGTAAGCTTGCGCTTGACGAATGTATTCTCCATTTTTTCGCACATGGATCATACGGCCACCCATGGGGTACGTCTCGGCTAGTACTGCATCGGCAAGGTCCGATAGTCCCGTCTTACGCAGGGAATGAATACCGCGCTCGGAGAGAGCAAGATTGATAGACTTTGAGAGCGTGAGTGGAGTAGTCTTGGCCTTGCGAAGATCTGGCTAGTGTCAGCATGGATGGGTATTAGGACCGAGATGATTTGCGGGTGCGATAAGGCTCACCTTCTCTCAGTTCATACACTTCAACCTCGAATCCACGCACGGCAGCGTACAGGGCCGCCAAGGAGCCTACCGGCCCAGCTCCGACAACAACCAGTTTCTGCGTCATGGTAATGAAAGGTGGTGGGAGGGAGCGGAGAAAAGTTGAACCAAATATCCGCAAGTCCCGTGATCCGAAGCTAGAGCACGGGATGAAACGACCAAAGAGCAGAAATTTAGGAGCATGGTGGGTATCTAGAGAAGCTGAGGGGTAAACGTGATGAAAATTGTCATCCCACGGACAAAAGCTCAAAGAGTCAGACAAGATGTCAAGGTATCACTGATGATGCACGTCAAGTCCTAAACGGGCAAGCGCCACTGAAGCGCGCGGGAAAGCCTTAGTCATCAGCGATCGGCACTCGGCGAATCTGGACCCTTGCAAATGAATACGGATCTGAGGATGCGGCGGCGGAGTTGGCAGCGAACAGAACATTCACCACGCAATTTTTGCGCCAGCCCACCTTTGCCGTAGAAAGTGCTTTAGCGCGCTGAGGATAGAATCGGCCTAAAAGTCTAGTCGTAGGCGACGTCTCCAGTCCACCCTCTGCCATAGCTCTCTCACACGACCAGTCTCTGCACACAGCACACAATGGCTGCAGAGGACGCCCCGCGCAAATGCTCAGGCCAGGACTGTGAAAACGACGCCAGCGCTCTGCAATGTCCAAACTGCCAGAAACTCGGAAAGGAGAGCTACTTCTGTTCCCAAGAATGTTTCAAGCGCAACTGGGTACATAGTGAGGTCGCCCATGTGAGACAGAACAGTATCTAACCGCCACGCAGGGTGAGCATAAGAAGGTGCACAAATCACAAAGTAGTATTCTCTCCAATATCTTCACGCCGAAAGTAGTTTCTCACCCGGATCCAGCCACGGGCCACTACAACCCGTTTCCTACCTACCCATACACCGGGGCTCTCAGGCCCGTATACCCGCTGTCACCGCGCCGAGAAGTGCCAAAGCACATTCGATTGCCAGACTACGCAAAGGATGGAATCCCGCGGTCCGAACAAGTATTCGTCAACAGGAATAAGATTACCATTTTGAACAAGGAGGAGCAGGATGCCATGCGCAAAGTGTGCCGATATGGGCGCGAGATATTAGATATTGCGGGTAGAGCTGCGAAGCCCGGCGTCACCACCGACTACATTGATGAAATTGTTCACAAGGCCACCATTGAGCGCGATGTAAGAGAGATCAACACAAGCCATGGACATGCAAAGCTGACAGGCGCAGTCCTACCCATCACCCCTCAACTACTGCAATTTCCCCAAGTCCGTTTGCACGTCGCTTAACGAGGTCATCTGCCACGGCATTCCCGATCAGAGAGTACTGAAAGACGGAGACATTCTCAACATCGATATCTCAGTCTACCACGGCGGTTTCCATGCAGACCTGAATGAGACCTATTACATTGGAGACAAAGCGCTGGCAAATCCAGACGCTGTACGGGTCACCGAGACTGCACGAGAGTGCTTGGACAAGGCCATTGAAATCGCAAAGCCAGGCACTCTTTTCCGGGAATATGGCAACGTCATCGAGAAACATGCCAAAAGCAAAAACTGCAGCGTGATCAGGACGTATTGCGGACACGGTGTCAACCAGCTTTTCCACTGCGCACCCAACGTTCCTCACTATGCCAAGAACAAGGCAGTTGGTCAAGCGAAGCCGGGCATGTGTTTCACAATTGAGCCTATGATCAGTATTGGAACACACCGAGATAAGACATGGCCGGACGATTGGACGAGTGTAACCCAAGATGGTTCACTGACAGCGCAGTTTGGTAAGTTATCGCTGGGACATAACTTTTCTTATTTCCAGAAACTAATGCAGTATAGAACACACTCTACTTATCACAGAAGACGGCGTAGAGGTACTGACAGCGAGGTTACCGGACTCACCCGGTGGCCCTGTGCCAATGCCGACCGCCAACAGCAACGAATCAAACGGGGAGGCAAAGGCTGACTCTTGAACGGAATGGGACAGTCATAAGGGAGTCTGAATAGAAACCTGCCAAGCAATATGATAGTTGAGTTGCGAGGAGGCTAAGAGTGCAGGCGCTATGCCCATTCATATGCCGCAAGCCGTGATAGTAGTCTCGTATGCACCCGGCCGGCCTGCGATGACCGGCGCTAACACTTGCCATGTCAACACAGTGATAGCGTCTCTTGTGCCGAAACAGTTGTGGCGGCGCAAAGCTCAAATGGGCCATTGTCCGTCACATGAGGCTCCAGTCGGACGAGGGGTGGCCCGCCTGCGCTCTCACAAGCGAAGCGAAGGACGCTAATGGCCATGCTTGCTGTGTCCAGGGAAGCATCGCCTCAACGTCATCCAAGCATCTGTGTCTGTTCTTACTCTACTCTTAAGTCCAAGGCGCTTGTTGCTCGCCATTTCTCTGTGCTGCTGTACACTGCCATCGCGTTTCCCTCGCAGTTGCCCGTCCCGTTTCCGACGTCATCGCAACTTCCATCCAGGCCCCGCACACAAGCTAAGCTTCCCGCGTCTAGCCCCGGCAGCCCGCAAACACACGACCGCATCCGAGCCTTGGGCATCTCTCGCACACTTGTTCAATCGCGCCCTCAGCCACCGACCAGCGACGCTGCTCGTCTCCTTCGCAAGCCTCAATACTATCGTCGTCTTACCCCGCACACTACCGCCACAATGACTGGTGAAGCATGGCTGTATCTGTTGGCGGTGTTAATAAACGCCGTTAACCTATTCCTCCAAGTCTTCTTCACCATTATGTACAGCGATCTCGAATGGTGAGCAGCTCCCGAGAAAGCGTCGTCGTATACAGACGACCCCGCAGACCCCTGTTATTGGGCAATAGCTAATTTTGCGCCAGCGACTACATCAACCCCATCGACCTCTGTAACCGTCTCAACACCTACATCATTCCCGAAGCCGCCGTTCACGCTTTCCTCACCTTCCTCTTCCTTATCAATGGATACTGGATGGCTCTGGTGCTGAACCTGCCCCTTTTGGCATGGAACGCGAAAAAGTGCGTGCCGCCCACGCCAACCCATGTGATAAGAGTGACGTTGCTGATTGTCCCAGGATCTTTGAGAACCAGCACCTACTGGATGCAACGGAGATCTTCAGGAAGCTTAATGTGCATAAGAAGGTAGGTGAATTACAGAAACGTGTTACGGCGCAAGTGGCTAATATATACGCACTTAGGAATCCTTTATCAAGCTGGGCTTCCATCTGCTCATGTTCTTCTTCTACCTGTACAGCATGATCGTTGCTCTTATCCGCGACGAGTCTCATTAGTCGTGGACTACGCCACTGTACCAGCTCATGCCCCAGATTGTAGGGTTGCCACCGGAGGTACAGCTACTCGTAGGCACAGACCTGTTCATAAGGACTCTTGTGATTCTCTGTATCTTCGATCAAGTCATGTATGCAATGGGCATACAGGTACCAATGATGGTGCTATGAGTACGCAAGGATATACGAGAATAGGACTTAGACAGATCGATATCCTTACATCGAAACGAATAGCGTTAGATTAGTATGATATAAAATACATCAATTACTGAAAAACACTTCAGCATCTAGACAAATTCCTCTTCGATCTTTCAAGACTGCAGTAAAGAGTTTTTAAATTTGCGTGTCGGAGAGATTTCCTTGAAACTTTCTCCTTGGTTGACAACTGCGAAAACCAATTTCCTAGCCAAGTTTTATATTTAACTATTTCGTCCTTTATATTAGTTAATACAGAATAATTACGAAAATGCATTGTAGTTTTCACGTGCAAGGGGAAAGGCTTGGCGTGCTTAGTCACCCGTATTTCATGACGAGGTAGCTTTCCCCAGATTTCCAGATTTCCTTCATTCAAGACTGCACCTCACCCGCTCTCCGTCTGCCGCACCTATACAACCTGCGCGACCACGAAATCATCGGCGAAACATAATCATGGCTGGGGGAGGCTCCGGTAGAGTCCCAACCGGTTTCGCAGCGGAAACATACATCAGTGATCATACATTCCGACAAGGTCAACGTTCGATCGAAAGCGGAGAGGGATCCAAGAAAAGAAAGCGCGAGGGCAAGGGTGACTCAAGTATTGTGAGTGGAGCTGGTGCATACAAAGGACCCTGGGCAAAATACGAAGAACAAAGGCCAGACGCCGCCTCGGACGATGAGTTTGGATCAGATGTGGAGGTGGAGATAGTGTACGAGGAAGACGAGATTGTCGACAACTCTGCGACTGCGCCTAAGAAGCTTGCAGGTACGGACTACCGCGATACTGAGGCCGAGGGCGAGACGAGTGAATTTGTTGGTAGCCAGCAATACGACTACCAAGGACGGACCTACATGCACGTACCTACGGACCTCGATATCAAGCTCACTGGCGACTATGAACCAAAGAACTTCATACCAAAGAAGCTCATCCACACCTACAAATACCACACTAAGTCGATTACACAAGTCCGCTTCATACCTGACAGCGGTCACCTCCTCCTCTCTGCTTCGGCCGACTCCAAGATTGCACTATGGGACGTGTATCACCAGCGCGAGCTGCTGCGAACGTATTCCGGTCATACGAAGTCGGTTGTCGACGTTGATTTCAATCCCAGTGGTACGCAATTCGTGTCCGCTAGCTACGACCGCTACATGAAGATATGGGATACGGAGACTGGCAAGTGCCTGAATAAATTCACAACTGGAAAGACACCGCACGTCGTGCGCATCAATCCAAGCATGCCCCACGAGTTCCTGGTCGGTATGAGTGATAAGAAGATCATGCAGTACGACACAAGAAGCGGAGAGATGGTGCAAGAATACGACCACCATCTGGGGCCTGTCAACACAATCACCTTCTGCGACGAGAACCGCCGTTTCATCACGACATCCGACGACAAGTCTCTCCGCGCATGGGAATACGGCATCCCTGTCCCTATCAAGTTCATTGCTGAACCGTACATGTTTTCCATGGTCCGCTCCTCGCCCCACCCGTCTGGCAAATACGTTGCCTTCCAGTCGTCAGATAATCAGATTACGGTGTACAGTTCGACAGACCGCTTCAGGCAAAATCGAAAGAAGAGCTACAGAGGGCACAACGTGGCTGGATATGCACCCGATGTGGCAATCAGTCCTGACGGGCAATTCATCAGCTCTGGTGACAGCGGTGGTTTCATTTGTTTCTGGGATTGGAAGACGTGTAAAATGTACCACAAGATTCCAGCCAGCGATGCGCCAGTGCTCGCAGTACAGTGGCATCCAAGGGAGACATCGAAGGTTGTGGCTGGAGACCTCAATGGTGCGCTGAAATTGTATGATTAAGACTGGATGCGTATGAGATGTACGACAGACTGAAGAGGGGGACAAAGTAGCGATACCCAATATGTTCAATGCCAATTCCGATTTCAGAGAGCGAGTTCCCACGCTTCGGTGTACGCTTTCCGACTGCGCCAAATGAGAGATATATGATTTGGGTCTTGCGTGGAAAGATGTCGTGCGTTATGTCTCCAGCAGTTTTCCGGCTGGCTATGCGCAGGCGAACATATGCGCACTTGCGCGATCACAGCCGCAATCCCCGTGCCATCGTAGTTTGAGTCAATAGATGACTCGTATCCACGTGAATGGCGTGTGAGCCTTGCCCGCATGGACGGTTGGGTGCATGCAGCAACCCCCGCTAAGGCCGACTGCGCCTTCGGTTCGCCCTCAACGACGCCCTTTTTCCTCTCTGCCTCGTCCTTCCCACCCACTCAATCTTCCTGTTTCAAATATCATCGGAAACCTCCGAAACTCTTTTTTTTTGTTTTCTTCTTTCCCCTGATACAATACGGTGATTGTTTCAAGAACGATGCCTCCAGGCTTCCGTGTTCTAAGCCCCCACGCCATACCTTCTTTGGCACACCGGTGACCCCAAAAGCTCGCCAGCAGACCTTCTCCCTATTACCATATTCCCAATTCGAATGGCTGAAGCCTGAGGACCAAGAGCGACGTCACTGGACTACGCATTTCCACCCTTTTCCGTGACGCCTTGTCATAGGCCTCCTTGCTTATCGTGCCTTGCAGCCATACATGCAAGTCATTGCCTGGACCGTGACCGGCCGTGACGCGTTTCTAGTCGACAACTGAACATGGCTTCCTTCTGGTGAACTTGCGCAAGCATGCATGTACACACGATGACTCCTTTTCGCCCTCATACCGGTTTGGGCATACCGTAAAATTGTAGCCTAGTCTAGTCGCTAATTCCCTTTCTTCTCTTACCATTTTCTGACGCGGTCGGGACTTGGGACGAACGACATAGCCACGCCGAGTGTGAATCATCGGTTCTCCCTAGGGCGCACTATCCACTCACACGTGAGCCGCAGCAAGCCAGGTATTCAGGCAACTATGATGGCAGTAGGAAGAGAAGCCAAAAAAAATGCCTAGTTGACTAGTAGGAGGATTTACGTGAGTGGACGAAGCCCTAAATGGCGGCCTCAGGGTAGGTTGTCTGCCTGGAATAAATAGACTATCGAGCGTGTACTCTTTTTTTCTTCTTCTACCATACTCAACTCAAAGCAACCAACTCAATCAAACATATATATCACCGTCCCGAACAAGTCAGACAAAACAGAGACACTTACACCATACCCTACACCTCTTCCACATCCAACACGACTTTCCCAAGCGCCACCAACACCACATCACCAACCACAACCATGTCCTCGTCATCATCATCATACTCGTACACTTCGTACACCCCGCAAAAGGGCACCTCATACTCGCGCCCCTCCACCTCATCAACCAGTAAGCCTCCTCCTCCTCCTCCTCTTACTCCTCCATATCAAAACCGCCGATGCTAACATTCCCCGTCAGCATACTCAACCTCCTCTTCGTCATCATCATACCAGAGCTACTACACACAATCCGGCGCAAACACCACTTCGTCATCGTCGCGGGGCCAGCGCTATAGCAAGCCGCCTATCATCCACAATGGCGGAGGCAAGATTAATGACCCTAATACTTCGACTTCGGCACCGAATGGAGGGTACTACACTTGAGGTGTAGTCTTGTCCGTTTTTTTTTTCTCTCTCTCTCTCTCTCTTTTTTTTTTCTTGCTTTTGGTCTGGTTTTACTATGGGATGTTTGGAGTTTTGGGGGGGAATTAAGGGAATCAACTATCACGTTGTGGGGGGGGGGGATTCATCTGAGGTTTCTTCATTGAGCCAGATGGAGATGACCATTTTCCTTTTGTTTTGTTTGTTTGAATGGCTAGTTGGGTTGAGAGAGTTGCCGGTTTTTTTAAGGCTCTGATTGCTGGAAAGAAACGGTATCTTACTCCCCTCTAATACGGAGTCGCTATAGTTGCGTTACTTCACGAGTGACATGTATACTAGGATAGTTATCTACGATTGATTCATATTACTACACTTGCGCATTCTCGCACTGCCTCTACATCCAATCTCCTCACACTATACAACATTCCCATAATCTATCTAGCTCCCAACAGCCCCATACCACCCCATGCCCAACACGGCTCCAAATAGAATCGCCACCGCGGGCGGAATCCCAAACCACGCCGTCTCAGCATACGCCAACGCAGCCACAACAACCCACCACGGCTCATCCGCCAAACTCTTGCCCCTCCCACTCTCAGGCGTCAAATACCCAATTTCCCACAGCCTATACACAGCCGTAAACACCAACCCCACAGCCGTCGCATTAATGCCACGCAGCAAACTCACAACCCACGGCTTAGTCCTGAGTACCTGCCAAAACGACTGGACCCCCACCGCCAGTATGATTCCAGGAGCAAAGATGCCCAGAAAGCCCAGTATGGCACCTACAATCGTGGGCGTGGAGCCTGGCGCCGACGCAAGGGCAAGGGCACCGAGGTAGACTGCGAAGTTGAAGTTGGGGCCTGGAAAGGCTTGGATGAGGGCGAGACCGAGGAGGAAGTTGCGTGGGGTGACCCAGCCGGGGTCTACGACGTACGAGCGCAAAAGGGGGATTACGACGGGGCCACCACCGAAGATGATGGTGCCGGCGAGGTACATGTTTGAGAAGAGGTCGAAGGGGCGGGAGGTGGAGGTTAGGGTGCCGCGGAGGACCATGATGGTGATGAAGGAGATTGTGAAGGTTATGATGAGGGTGGCGCCGAGTTTGACGGAGATGTTGTGGGATTTGATTTCTGGCTGGGGTGGTTCGGGAGTGTGGCTTGCGGGTTCATAGATGGGGGTGGGGTGTGAGGTCAAGTTTTCGTGGGAGGATGCAGCGTCGTCTACAGTCGAGCTTCCAGCCTGGGGTCTCCGCTTGACGGCTTGGGGCCGTGTGAGTTCTACAGGAGGTGTTGGCTGGATATCCGCATGCTGAATCTCTTCTTCAGCATCGCCTTGTTCGTTTCTTGCGCGGCGGCGTTGGGCTTGATATTTCGCTTTCATCTTGCCTACCCACCTCATGAGCCAGATATCCCAGATCACAGTTGCTATGCCACCGCAGACAATCAGGATCGGAAAGTACCACAATGCGCTGTAGCAAAGTCCTGCGCATGCGCCGAAAATGACGAGTATTCGTGTTATTTTGTCTCGGATTGCTTTCTCGGCCAATTGTACAGCAGCCAGCGCAATGATTCCAACGGTACTAGCGTTGAGACCGGAGAGCAAAGCGTATACAATGGAAGGGAGGCGCTCAGGCATCTTTTGTACGCCGAGTGAGAGCGCGTACATTCCGATTGCGCCAGGGAGACTCCAGAGCATGAAAGCGAAGATGGCGGGGATCATTCCGGCATGTAGGAGAGCGATACAGAAGCACATCTTGGTCGATGCAGGGCCGGGGAGAGCCTGACATACTGCAAATAGCTCTTGATACTGGAGTAGCAAGGTTAGTTTGAGATCAATTCTTCCCTTCGCATCTCTATTCCAGTGCCGAACCACTCCTGTCGTCTGAATCCTTCCCGGTTCAACACGGTCATACAAAGAAAGTTACTCACAGCCTGTTCGTCCAGCCATTTCCTCCCAGCAACACCCTTACCCTCTACAAAGCGACGATGCAGAATCTGGAAATGCACAGGCGGCCCTCCAAATGCCGTGAACCCCAGATCCCACATTCTGAAGAAGACATCAAGAAGGCGGTCTGGAAGAGTATCGTTGTTGCCTCTCACATCTGATGATGGCTCACGCGGCGTCGAGGACGGGCGCGAACGCCTCAGCGAGCCGATGAGGGATTGTAGCGACATGGAGACTACCAAATTATGGGTAGGATGCTGGTGTAGGATCAATGGTGCTTGAACAAGATGGCCATTGTTGTCGTTGGGATGGCTGGAGCCAAGCCTCAAGCGATGATGCCATTCGCTCTAAAACCCCATGGCTTTACTGGGAGAAATATGAGCCCAGCATAACGGTGTGCAGACGCGAGCTTAGTTTCGCGATCGAGCTGAGTGTGCATGTCACTGGGAACTTATGATTGGTCATTTGGGTTCCCTTGCCTGTCTCTGCGATGAACGATAGACGCAGACGGTCCCACGTGCAAGTCTAGAAGCGAGTGCGAGGGACTGGGACGAGAGTGGAGCTGTGGAGCTATGGGAACAAGCGCGTCCGCTCGTTTGTCGTCAACATCAATCCATCCCAACAACATCACGCCAGAGCAGAGCATTCAGTCATTTCTTAATCTTTACATTCCTTGTTGAATCCTCACATGATTCGTCGTGGTCAATCTCTGCGATTCCCGACATGCTTCAGATGATCATTCAGATCTCTGTACTACCCAACCCTTATTAACGCCTTCGCTTCTTGCGTTGAGCCGTAGCTCAAACATCGATCGCATCGACCGTAACGCCTTTGACCCAAGTATACTGCATAACACGGGCGACCTCCAGGGCCGAGTCGTGGGATGCGAGAGAGCCTACCAAATACAAGCTGGCATCGAGACCAGCAGTCACACCACCAGTGGTGATGACACGCATACCGCCAAGGGGCATGGAGGCACGCCTAGCAATGGACTCGCGGCGGCGAGAGTCACGCCAAGCATTGCTGCCCTTGCGAGCTATCGACTTACGACGAGCGTGGCCCATGTTGGTGCCTTCAACAGGGCTCTGAGGCTCGCGAGACTTTTTGATGATGTATCTAGAAGGGTTAGCTGGTGGCAAGCCGGAGCGGCGGGTGTTTGACTCACGGATTCTCCTCGGGATTTTCACCCAGGTCGAAGCGAGCGTTGTTGACGACGTATCGCTCCTCCATGACATCGGTACGCATGGACATGTCCCGCCTAGCCGCGTCTTGACAGATGGTCTCGAGGCGGACGTAGTAGTCGGGGTGGGTTGTAGCAGCGAGGCCCTCGAGCATGCCTTGCTGAGCAAGGAGCAGGGCACCCACATCGATGGCGAGGATGGTGCGTTCTTTGACGGGGTTCTTCTCTTGAAGCTCGACGTACTTGGTGAGGAGGTTCAGGGGCTCAGATTTGTTTTTGAGCACCTCGAACACGCCCTCACCACCGGGAACGATGATGACGTCGAAGTCATCGAGCTCGTTGTTGGCGTCCTGGGCCATTGAGTCAGTACGGCTTCGGGAGATGTTGTAGGAAGAAGCTTCATACCTCATAGTCCATGTCGGCTTTAATGGTGAGACCCTGGACAGAGGTCATGGCCGCTGCGGTGCCGACGAACTGGCAGTCGAAGGCCTTGCTGTCTACAGCTTGTCAGCCAGAGACCAATTGGCCCATGATAGCCCAGCTCATGTCGGAGCACGTAGGATATCTGGATGGTTGACTTACTGGGGTCTTTGGGGTCCTGGAGGGAACGGCTCAGCACTTCAAGGGGGCCGGCCACGTCGAGCGTGTTGTACTTGTCAAAGAGAGCAAACAACACCTTGACCTGCTCGACGCGGCCATCGGTGTTGTCTGCAACTGCACTCATCTTGAATGATTTGATGTGAATGGGATGGAATGGATTGAGTAGATGAAGGGATGGAACATCAAGGTTTTATATGAAGGAGAGACGCAGCAGCTGGAGCGAGCGAAGCTCTTTCAGCCGAGAGGGGTAACTCTCCTCGATCTCGTGAGCACCGCGTCACTGTCTGGCGAGTCCCTTCCCCAGATATGCAACCCCGCATCGCACGGACCGTGAGACTACCCAAACAGGCATGGTCGAGCGGGGCTCTAGGGCGATCCCACTTGCGGACCACTGAGCCTTCGGGCAGACCCAGAGACTATTCGCGTGCCTGCTTGGCCCAAAGGCGTCCTTGAGGCTGTGATGATAGCAAGCATCTCGGAACTCCAAGACGACATGTGTGTATGACAAAGCCAGGGGATCCAATGCCATTGACCGCAGGCCGTGTTGCGGACATTCATCCGAACTATCGTGCACAGACCAGCCGTTCACAGGCTACCCATGCCACGCGACGTCTAGTTGCAATAGAACGAAGACTAACCCTACTCGAAAAGTCTTGATAGTCTACAGATGAACATCAATTCAGTATCCTGGCCTGTTACAGACCTTTTCTGTCCGTCCTCTACTCTCTGACAGTTGCAAAGTTGAACTGAGAGCAGATTACTAAGAAACTACAATGACATGGTAGTCAACCCCCGAAAGAGGCGCAGGGGACTGAAAGCTACTAGCAGATGACCTAAACCTTCCACGCATCTAGTGCCAGATATAGTACAGGGGCTGGGGAGGCGGCTGGCAAGAGTGCGTTTTGCAGCGTCTTAGCCAGGATAGTGGAAAAGAAGATAGGTAACAACGTTAAATCTTTGGAACAAAACCTCAAGTAGAGAGGATATCAGTGTCCTATGAGAACAAAATTGAATAGTCATCATTGTTGCTCAATTCATCCTAACATGTATCGACTGGCTGGTGGGTCATGGCATGGTGGGCTGGCTGGCGTAGTGGAGAGGCGCACGGACGCGCATCATGGCGCGACATCGTCCAGAGTGCGACGTTGACAACCCCAACCGCAACATGGCGGCACCAACAGACACTGACGCGTCGCCGACGAGCGATTCAAAACAAGCACTATCCTCGTCTTCAGAGGCACCAAAATTGGCTGCCAAGACACAAAGCCAGCCTCCGCCAGAGACAAAGGAAAGCCTGTGGCTACGACGATGGTCAATTGTCTCCTTTTGGGCTGTCGTCTTATTGCTGGGACTGCCAGTATGGCTGAAGACTACAGCCATCTACCGGGCAGAATTGCCACTGCAGGAGATGACTGACTGGGCTGAGGCAAAGGTATGCGTGACGCTGCGCGCATCCAATCTTCATGAACCAAGTTGACACGATTGCAGGTCTGCAAGCCAGTCTTTCCTCTGCGCATAGCTGTCGAAGCCCCAATTCCCTCACTTGACGCTCAGCACCTCATTCGCACCACCCAGCATGCTCTCGACGATATCAACGACTTCTCCGCACACCATCTCCGTCTGATGCTCGCCGATCCGCCCTTGCAACCCAATACCTCGCAGCAAGTAGTCATTAGTGACGGAGCAAGCATTCCTAGCGACGACAAGGACGTTGTCCTAGTCATTCGCCTGATACCTGTCGAAACTGGCACCACGCCCCGTTCGCAACTGCAGCCCTACTCTCCTACGTTGGATGTTCACTATGCGCCCAATCAAATACCTTCACAGTCCTCAACCGGCTCGAGCCTAGCTACCTTTCTCGCTCAAGAGCTACACAACATCTTTGCTGAAGAGCAGGCCCAATTGGCTCACGTACTCTCGACTTCCTCTGGCGCACATGCTGCCAAAATCAAAGCCCTCTCCCCCGAAACGTCCGCTGAGCTCCAACGCCAGTCCACGCGCGCTCTCAAGTATGCTCCCACATACCATTTGACCTTTTCCCTCTTCAGTCCGTCATATGCACCTTCGAAATGGGATATTGAGACGGCACTTGAGAAATACATGAGCCCCCTTTTGGAAGCCTTGTCAGCTATTAGCAACTTCACTGTCGATACTCAAGTCCAACTTTATGCTACCTACACACCCTCCATCCGACAGCCTGAATACGACGAAGACAAAAAGGCGTGGACACTTCGCAAGGAAGACTTGAGTGGATTTGTAAACGCTGCCGAGTGGCCCCTAAGCCCCAGCATTGGCGAGGGTCCAACTGTCAATTTCATCCTCTACGTCCCGGACCGTGCACAATCACCACTACTTGTAAAAGAGAATGGCGGGAACAGCTGGCTTATTCCACAGTGGGGAGGTGTCCACATCCTTAACCTAGAAGGGAAGTCAGATACGCCACCCGAGCTTACTGCAGAAATGCTTGCACCCGTCATGCACACGTTTTCAAATCAGCTCATCTCACTGTTCGGACTGCCCCAAAGCCCAGCATCGCTACCTTTGCGCATATCAACCCTGGAACGAGTGCGAGCTGCCTCACTCATCTTCTCTGCTTCCTCTACCTTGGGCGCCTTGGCTCAGGTGTATCAGAAGCTCCCATCTATTCCGGTTCCTGATAACGTAGCCCAGTCTACGCATCGCACTATCGCGAATCTGCATCAAGCTTGCGACTATCTTCGAGATGGCCGGTTTCCCAGCGCGTTAGAACACGCCCGGGCTGCAGAGGTAGAGGCTGAGAAAGCTTTCTTTGAACGCTCCATGGTTGGCCAAGTGTACTTTCCAGATGAGCACAAGGTCGCCGTGTACCTACCTTTGCTAGGCCCTATCACAGTTCCTCTTGTCATGGCTGCGCTGAAGGAATTGAAATCCGCATTGAAGCGGGCCTGATCTCAGCGCTAAAATACGCGCCAAGTAGAGTCTGAGACCTATAGCAAGGACGCCGAAGTATCCGTTTTGCTTTGAGCTTACCGGATGTGTTATCTGGTCCGTATCAGACTTCACTCTTCATACGAACTTGACATCTCGCAATTGTTCGCATCGCCATACTACGTACTCAACGACCGACCAAAAGTCATATACATAACATCATGAGTGTGTTGTGGGACGAGTGTTCGAAGATGATGTTCTTACACAATTATAGCACCATACATATTTGTGCTCGAGATACAGCAAGGCGTCCTAGGTTACCTTCGGGACTATCCCCGCTGCGGGGTAGTATGGGCTCCACCATGACTACGTCCTTGGCTGATAGGGCTGCCACTCAATACTGAATCGACTTGGTAGATCTCATCCTACGTTATTGCCGGCATTTGCCCCTCGTTACACTAGCGATTTTGCCTATAAATTCACATATCTTGACTTGTTTCTCTCTTGTACTTTGCATTCACGTTACACCATTTCAACCAAGGATTTCTGTCACCATGTCACTCACTCCTCAAAGTATAGAGAGTATCAAAGCCACATTGGACAGCTTTGTCAAAGACGGCTCACCAGGTCTTGTCTTCCACGCTGTCGATAAATCAGGCAAGACTCTGGTCGAACATGCCTCGGGTACCCTCGGAGTTGACTCCGACCAGCCTATGGATGCTGATACCACCCTCTTCTGGATTGCTTCCTGCACAAAGCTCGTCACAGTCATTTCGGTCCTTCAGCTTGTTGAACAGGGCAAAATATCTCTAGACGATGCCGAATTCGTCAAGAAGATTGCACCTGAACTTGCCGACAAGAAAGTATATCCTGATGGTGTCAATGCTGTGGAGAAAGAGAAAGAAATCACCATGCGTATGCTGCTTAGCCATACAGCAGGATTCGGGTATAGGTTTGCCGACCCAAGAATCAAGCAAGACGGCATCGAAGGGAGCCATGGAGACAAGAACGACATTCTCAATGCGAAGCTGCTGAACCAGCCCGGTAGCATGTTTGAATACGGTGTAAGTCTCAGCAATCATAGCGACATACACAAGTTACAATGACAGCTAAGGCATGGCACAGGTTAACATCGACTGGGCCGGCATCATCCTCGAGCGAGTAACCGGCCAACTCCTAGGCGACTACTTCCAACAAAACATCTTCACACCCCTCGACATCCCCGCCGAAGGCGCAACTATGTTCCCCTCACCCAGCCTCCAAAAGAACCTCGCCCACATGCACCAGCGCGACGCCTCCGGTACCCTCCACGAAAACCCCCACCTCTACATCGGCCCCCTACAATGCCCACCCGAGAAGCAAAAAGACTTCCTCCAATCCGGTGGCGCAGGCCTCTTCTCCAAACCAAAAGAATACGTCAAAATCCTCGCTACAATCCTAAACAACGGCACTAGCCCCTCCACCAACAAACAGCTTCTGAAAAAAGAATCCGTAGATCTCTTGTTCGAAAACCAGATCCCAGATCAACCGGATTTCGCCCGTGCGGAAGTCACGCCCGCGAATCCGCTGCTGCTCAACCCGGGTAAGGAGATGTATCCTCAACCCGGAAATCCGCCGCAGGGCTGGGGCTTTGGCGGCTTCCTGACGATTGCGCCGGGCCAGACGGGGCGTGGGGCGAATACGCTGTGGTGGATGGGGCTGTGCAATTGTTTCTGGTGGGTTGACCGTGAAAAGGGGGTTGCGGGGATGCTGGCGGCGCAAGTGCTGCCTAATGGAGATGGCAAGGTTATTCCGGCGTGGGTGATGGCTGAGAAGGGGGTTTATGATGGACTGGCATCTTCGTAGAGAGATAGAACTCTTTCTTCAAGAGTTTAGAAATTAAAGTAGTAGTTTGTTTTCTGCTGTTTTATTTTATTTTATTTTTTTTAGAAACGAGTGGGCTATTGTTTGGTAGATTGGAGATCATTGCCTAGGATCCCGACTACCCCGTCTACATGTTCCATCCCTTCTCTCCCTTGCTTCTCCACCACATCAGCGAGTTCCTGGAATACGCCTGCGATTTCGCGAAATACACTTGCTTGTTGCCATCCTCCTTCTCCCGCAAAGCACTCGCCTATTTGCCTCATTTCTTCAACCCACCGGTACGCCTTGTGCGTACACCCCACGATGCCTCTTTCGGCCTTGAGCCGCGCATGGGGGTTATACTGATCCATGTAATCTTTCAGCTGAGGCAGTACACCGAGAGACGAGGCAGTGGTAAAGGACTGCAAAGAGAGGGCCGTGAAGCCTTTTGTCAAAGCGGCAAAGCAGCATTTTAGACCGCTGGCTGTGCCAATGGTGTTGGCGACGTGCTGGACATTCAACACGGACGCGAGATGTGCACTGGGGAGTTCATGAGGACCCGAAAGTGGAACGCCGGGACGCTTCCAATCTGACCCTGGGCTAACGGACTCCTCTGCTTCTTTTGACGTTTCTGGTGAAGCTGGAGGAGCAACAGGTGGTGAGCCGATGATGCCTCCGTCAACAAAGCGTACTTCTTTTACTCGTTCTTCAAACATGTCGCCTATCTTGCGTACTGTATCTGGACTAATCGCATTCAAATCCAGGTAATACAGCACGGGTTTTTCCTGTCCCGATGACGCAGCCTGCTCTGTACTCTTTTGCTTCTCTAGTGCAGCAATCACCCTCTCTGCCGTTGCGACAGCATCGCGTGGCGGCACAATGCTGAGTACGTAGTCTGCGCTTGCAACTAGCTCTTCGTCTGTGTCTAGCAGTTGGATTCCAATTGATTCGGCTCGATCTTTTGTTGCAGAGCTGCGCCCACTGATATTTGTGGTGATAGCGTAGTTGTGGGATTTGAGTAGTGAGGCGATACCGAGCCCCATTTGGCCAATTGAGATGATGGCTATGGTGGCGTGGGGCGTCGCCATTTTGATGATGGAGTGCCGGAAGAGAGATAGATAGTCAAGATACGTGAGAGGAAGATGGTGGGGTTCATGGTGGGGGGCCTGATAGAGGATCGATTACTAACGAAGAGGGGTTAGTGAGATGTGGGGAGTCTGGCCTTGTTGAGGAAGTTGTCTTGACCGACTGCGATATCTGAGTTGCATACTCTCTCAATATCTGTCTTGGTTGTTTGCTGTGCCTCGCTATATTCCGTGTTGTTTGGCGTAAGCCCAATTGGGGTGTCAGCGCAGGGAGCAAACACTGCTAGTATCCTATCAACTCATTGGAATCTATGCCAGCAGTGAAGGCCCGTCATCTCCAAGTGGGTTTCGTACGACCGAAGTGTTTGAAAATAGTAAATCGACAATTAGTAGGTGAGATAGCATGTGGAATAGCTATTTGCATTCGGAGGTCGTTGGTCCATGTCGGCCTGGCACAACAGGTAAACTACAAGTGAAGGTCGCAGTCCTAGCGACAAAGTGAGAGGAACGCCATATTTTCCTTTCAAGTCAACCATAATTTCCTATCCACCAAATCCAAAACTTACTACGACATCTCTCAACTTGAAACCACACTTCTTTACACCGTCAGTGCCATCAGCACCACCAAGAACACCATGGGTATTCCCCGTTTCGCCTTTATGGCATTACGCTTGGCGCAGTTCATCTGCGCAACCGTCGTTCTAGGACTGTCATGTTACCTTCTCTATCTCGAGCATGAGCATGATATCGGCCCCTTCGGTCGCCTCTTCTACAGCGCCATCATTTCCTCTATATCAGTCATTGCGTCTCTCATCTGGCTCATTTCTAGTGCAATTCACCCCGTCACCCACATCGTAGCCGATCTACTCTTCCGTGGTGCCTGGTTCGCCGTTTTTGGTCTACTGCAAGACTGGTACGAAGATGTCATGCACTGCGGGAGCAAATGGAACTGGTACATGATCAGTGCAAGAGAGGGATTATGCGGAAAGTGGAATGCCGTTCAGGCTTTTGCTTTTCTAAGTGCAATCTTCTGGTTTGTTAGCTTCATGCTGGGCGTCTTGGCGTGGAAGAAAGATAGCACGGCGCCCGCTGCAACTGGTAGTGCTCCTGCTCCAACGACGACAGGGTAAGGCATCTTGGTTGAGACTTGGATCGCGGGAGCTAACATCGTGCAGGCGTAGACGCCGATTTGGCGTTTCACGTGCCTAGATCTATCTCCGATCTTGACCAAGTTTCTGCCGCCATGGTAGGTTGTCGTCATGCCTCAGTATTCAGGGTGAATTGGGTCCACGTGAAAGAATGGATCGGGTCCACGATCTGCCTCGGTTTGTTTTGAGCCTATCCTGTCGGTTGATCAAGAGGCATTTTCAATTTGTCAAATTGTTATAGTGTCCAGGTAGATGAATTAACCATACGACCTTGCAAGGCCTATTGGTGGAGTATACATGACGGAACTTCCATTGCAAATATGACGAGAACTATCAACTCACAATAACTATAGCAAGGAACAAACAGGAAGCAGGGATATTTTGTTAAGGAAATTCTTGGCATATCTTCGTTTTCGCCAAGTGTTTGGGTGTTTCACTGGGCCAGCCTAACACCGCGATTTAATTTACGTGATGGTCAGCTTCGGCGCTCGGCAGCGGACGGGTACGGATGGGTTTCGGATGGGCGTACGGGAAGAGAATTCTTGAAATACACCAATGGAAAATTGCAGAAGCAAGTAGTCAGCACAACTGACACAAGATAGTACAACGCTGACATGTAAACCCTTAACGTTTGAGACGTAAGTAGGGTAGCGTAGCATGCACGGTAAGCACCGAACCGCACCGACACGCACCTAGAACACTGCCTAATCCACGTTTCACAGTGTAGGAATAATAGGGTGATGTCAGAACGTCAATAAAACCGTTTCAAAATACGGTATAACGGCCAAAGAAGAAGAAAAAGACGACGTCTTCGGCAGTTCCTCAGAATGCCACAGTCATGCATGCCATCATCGGCTCTAAACCGCATGCGTACTAACCAAGAGCGCAGACACCAATTTGCATTGCATCCCCGGCGTGCACTAATTCCTTCTTCCCCGCACCCGGAACAATACTGCACAGATCTTGAACGATCCTCCTCGATACGCGATTCCCTCAATATCGAAAGCAACCCTCTCATTGCATTTCTTTTAACCACCGGCCAAGCCTTTGTTTGCCGTGAACAACGTCTTGACGGATATTAACACTGGAAGCACTACTGCACTTGGCAAACGACATGTCACAATCGCGTGACTTCTCCAATTAAGAAACTCACGCAGATGACGATGGCTATACGTTATAGCCAACCAAGTGGTAAACAGTGCAATTCGGAGAAGAACCGGCATGCTGTGTTGACCCAACCAGCTGGCGACAATAGCCTCAATAGCAACAGAGACCCTTAGCTATACCTACCTGTTTGTCAGCACCCGGACACAAGTTCCCCCATACAAGAACACCGTATAACAGCACGCTGATAATTCCATCATGCACACCCAATTTATGCAACCCCCCATTTCCTCCGATCTTTACCCCATAGAAAGCTCTACGCACAGGCCCGCACACCATGTTTCGATGATACTTACGGACCTATTACTGATTTACCCACCTAGCCCTTCTCCACCCGACGAGTCAGTAAGGCCGAAGGTTAAAAACAATAGGGAGGGAGCATGTTTTTTGCATGGCTACCTAAAAAGTGGGGGTGGTCCTTGACACATTAGACAGACACTAGGCTTTGAAACAAATTAAAACATTTGTTTGGAAGGGGGGGGCAGTGGGGACGGGTGTAGTGGATACCCGTCTTCATGGATGTTCGATGTAGTTTGGGGAATTTGGACCCATGAATGACTTCTAACATGGTGGCGGGGATTTGGGTGGGTATGGTGTAAATATAAATGAACGGACACTGCTGTGTATACATATAAACCGATCTGCTATTCTCTGAATCAGTTGCTTTTTTGTTCATCGACGAGTTCGACTTCGCCTTTTCTCTTCTTCTATACACACCAAAGGCTTGGTTGCATTTCCTCACATTCTACAAGATGAAGTACTCATTTAGCCTCGTCCTCGCGGCGCTCTCTTCCATGGGCAGCGTCACAGCCTCGCCTGTTGACCTCGAAGCTCGCGTACGTATACCACTCCATCTCACAATAACGAAGGATCCACCATTCTGACACTTTCCCCTTCTAGCAAACCGGCAGCACAGATCCCTACATGGACTCCGGTCTCCCAGGCCACACCATCTACCTCCCCGCCGGCAACCCAACCAACGGCAAGTACCCCGTACTTGTCTGGGGCAACGGCGCCTGCAGCACCGACGGCCGCTCCAACAGCGCTCTGCTCCGCAACATGGCCGCCAACGGCTTCCTCGCCATCTCCGAGGGCGGCCTCAACGGCGGCGGCTCATCCACCGCCCAAACCATGAAAGCAGCCATCGACTGGATCACAAAGACTGCAGGCACAGGCCGCTACGCCAACGTCGATGCCAGCCGCATCATGGCCGCCGGCTTCTCCTGCGGCGGTGTCCAAGCCGCCGACAACATTAACGACCCGCGCGTCGACACCGTCGGAATCATCAGTTCGGGTCTTCTCTCCAACACCGACGCCGCCAAGTCGTGGAAGAAGCCCGTTCTCTTTGTTCTTGGTGGAACTGGTGATATTGCGTACCAGAATGTATGTCCCCCCCCCTGTATCTCCCTAAACACACACTCTCCTTTACTCCCAAGAACGCACAATGCTAATTTTGATAAAAAAAAGGGCGAACGCGACTACCGCAACCTCCCTGCCGGCACTCCCTCGTGGAAGGGAAACATCCCAGTCGGCCACGGCGGCACCCTTGGTGACGCAAACGGCGGCAAGTTCGGTCGTGCCATTCTTAACTGGGCCAAGTGGTCCCTCAAGGGCGACCAGACTGCTGCGCAGTGGTTCAAGAACGGTTACCAGGCTGATGGATGGCAAGTTCAGTCTAAGGATTTGGACAAGCTTAAGCCTGCTACCAAGTAAGAGCTCTATGCTTCCCCTGGCGGGCGAGTGGACTAAAAAATCTCAATGCGGCGGAGTCTCCTTTTTTTTTCTCCTTTGCGTTTTCAGGAGAAGGAGTAAGAGGGCCCTAAGCCGCATGGATTGTACATATTCTTTTTTTTCTCCTCCTCGTCTGACCTTTCCTCTTTTCTCCTCTCAGCTTTCAGGCTTGGGATCTTTTGAAAATTTAGTATGATTATGTGGTTATGCGGTTACGCCTACTGTGTAGATAGATACTTTGTGACAATTGTATATATGTTACTTGTCAATATTGTCCCTTGTTTTGGTATTTCAATGATATTGAACAACCTGTGCATGTTAAGAACAAGATCTCAGCTGGGACTTGACGCAGACCTTCAAAACTATAACAAGCAGGTGCAAGACAAGGGAAATTGAATGACAAAATGAAAGCAATAAATTTCAGTGATCAAATTCTCATGCCAAGTGAAAAGGCATAATATTCGTAAAGGGAGAGAAAGAAGAAGGCCCAGAGCTATCAAATTACCTCAACACCAACGCTATGCTTAGCTAATCATCGTTCTCTTAAGAAGATAAAGAAAACTCATCCTTCTGTCGTAAACTCTGCTCACCAGTCTCAGACTCTTCTAGAGTCTCTCGGACTCGAGCCCCACGCCAATGTTGCGCCCATGTCCCTTCCACTCGCCGACCCTGTTGTGCTTGCATTACTAAATACCCTCCGGTGCCCTGGCTCCATCGGCGCAGCAGCCCCGCCATCACCTATCGTCCTGCGTCCATCCATGCTCTGACCCACAAGCCTGCCGCTGAACTGGTGCCAGCAATTTGGCGCCTGGAGAATGTACTTTTCCATGGCGATCCTGAACCTGTTGCGGTAATCGCGGGGCGATGTGATTGTAGGTTTGTTCTTGCCACGGTCCTTGATCCAACTCTCCAATTTCTTGTCCCATGTGTACGTGCGGATGCAATCGATGATACCTACAATGATTTCGCGGTTTGTGTCGTCGAAGCCGGCCATGAGTGAGTAGTCCATAACGTTGTTCTGTGAGAGGAACAGGGTATCGTTGAAGACGCTGGCTTTGAGCAGTTTCTTGGTGTGCTCACGGACGAAGATGGGGGTTTCTGAGTAGATAATGTCTACGAGATTCTCATCAAGAAGAACTTCATCGCGCTCGCCAGTGGCCTGTATTTTTCGGTTGCGCATACTGCCTTTAAGGTCGTAGCGCCGGTTGGGTTCGCGATCGTAAAAGAGATTCTCCATGACGAGCATGTACCAATCAAAGTCTCGGCCAGTAGGCGTCTTGATTTGGACTTGGAAAAGGCCAAACATCTTCGCAATGACACTAGGCAGAGACTTGAATAGATTCTGGTGCGTAAAGGCAAAGTAGTTAGGCCCGAACTTGAAGAAAGCTTGCACCTCTACTGGGGAGAGAGATTTCAAAACAAACCGATCGTCAAGGGTTTTCAAGAAGATAGATTTCGACTTCCCACCCTTGGAATCCCACTTGGAGCATCGAGAAAGAGACTCAACGAAACGCTCGGCAACACCGCATTTACGGCGAAGAGCATCGAATGACTGCGCGTAGAAGATTTTGCAGTGTGCCTTCACTCCACGGTTCGTGAAGCTATAGCGAATATTGTGATTTTCCTCATGGAGTAGGTTACGTTCAACAGACTCCTCAAATGTCTCAACATGGCCATCAGGACCTGTGCTCAAATCGCGGAAGGATTGTCGTTTAGCCACATAATCGGGGCATGACAAAGCTAAGGCGATGATGGAGCTAGGCTCGTCTTCCCGAATAATGATGTCAGAGTTCTCCCAGACGTGTTCGATCTGTGAAAACGGGTATTCAAGCGGTGTCCAACCACTAGCCGATCGCTCGGACCAAAAGCTTGTCAGAATCTTGAGCAAAGTGTTCTTCTCGTGCTTGGGTAGCTCTAGCGAATTTTCCAACTGAGAGTCGCTAAGATTCAAGAGCTGAGAACTAGCAAGACTGTCGGGTAATGGAATATCCTCTGGTGTAGTCTCTGTATCACTGACATCGTTGTCAATGTCTGGAGGAAAGTGAATGCGAGATTTGGGCGACTCGTCGTCTCTTGGTGGAGGTACTAGCAGCCCATCTTTGCTATGACGCTCTTCGATAGGTGACTGTGAAGCCGTGGCTGTGTCGTCTGCATTCTCCGTAAAGGTGCTAGTATCGAGAGTACTATTGTCAAGACTGCCCCTAGAAGGAGATTGCGCAGGTGTCTCTTCGTCAGAATCCTCACTTTCCTGCACAGCGTCATGCACATTCTTGTATACCTCGACAACTGGCTTTGAGGAGGCTAGCGGGAAAGCGCGCACTTGCCGGGCACGATCATTACGTCGTTCACGCATGCGTTGGTTCTGGAACTCTCTTGACAGCTGTTCAAAGTGTTGTGCAATCTTTGAAACCTTGGTTTGACTCTTGTAAGGGATAGATCTTGGAATACGAGAGGAAGACTTGGTCTGTTTAGGAGCTCCCATTCCTAGTCGCTCAGTCATGCGTTCGAATGCTTTGGAGCTGTCATTGGCAATAGCTTTTGGCGTAGTAGGCCCGTTGTTGAAGGCCGACGATCCAGGGAAAGGACCTATGTGCTTTGCAATGTTGCCCGGCTGAGACTGTGTTCTGACAAGCGACGCTGGCCTTGCAGCAGTTTCGCGCTTAGCCAATTCAACCGGACGAGGAATCTTACTTTCTGTAGCCGGACTAGGAGCACACTGCAGGGTCGTTGGGCTACTGGGCATATTTTCAATTGCTTCTGCAAGCTGCTTGTCGAGAGGGTTCACTTTGGGTGGACTTGTAGGCGTAGGAGATCCTTCATCGTATCTGCTAGGGTCGGAAGCAACGATAGGACTATTGTTGAGCTCTTCACTGGCAATGGGACGGCTGTCCGGGAAATTGGATGAGATAGCCAAATCGAGGTGGCGTACATCCTCCCGTTCTATCGCCTCACGTGGCGTCTGAATTCCCAAGTCAGCGGCCGCTTTTGGAGATGTGGGGGTCTTGCTCTCTGGCGTCGAAGGTGTCTCGTCAGCGGGTGGATCGGAAGTCGAGCCCTCTTCTTTAACAACAGAACTCAGCATATCACGGGCCATTTCTGGGGACATGTTGGATGGCCTAGGAGATAAAGCTATGGGTTCTTCTTTCTCATCCATGTACGAATCGTCTGCGCCGGACTCGGTGCCTTCTTCAACCGATGCCAATGAGCTTGTCGACTCATCGCGCTCCAGAAACCGCTTCAATTGCATGTTCGCATATCTTCGGATATCCCGCTCAGTCGGAAAGAATTGCTGCTCAAACTCCGTAAAGGTCACATCCCAAGCAATGGCTTTCTCTTGGATAGCACGAATGGCGCGGTTCATAGGAATGATCTCGTAATACTTTGAGCTCATGTACTTGTCTTGAAGCTTCGCTTTCAACCATTCATGCTCTTCGTTTGCGCGCTTGAGAAGCAAGTCGACCTCTTTCCGACACAAATCAACCTTTTCTGGGATTACGTCTTCAACGTGTATGCCTTGGATGCGAGCACGGAGTGACGCCATGAAGCAGTCCAGCTTCTCCTCAATCATGAGATATTGACTATTCTTCAATTTCAGGTCGCTATCAACCTTCCAGGTGACATTGGGCTTCGGCGCAATGACTTCGTACATTGGCACAGGGTCGTATTGGATTCGAAGAGCAACGTGATTATACCCAAAGTAGCGGACATGGTCCTTGTGAATATCGTGTGGGCATATACCTGCCCGGGGATGCAGTGGCGTGCTCCAAAAGGTCAGTTCGAGGTACTTTGCAAAAGAATATCTCCAGCTCCATTCAGACATGGGGAAAGCCTGGGTTTCCTGACCACATATCCTACAGCAGCTCCACATTAGGATGGTCTGATACATGCCCTTCAGTTTTGGAGGATACTTCTGGACAACCACAGTCATTTGGCCCTCGCCGTGTACATATTGACGAGAATGGTCGAGCATCCTTCGATCGCAATTGCCTACTTCGCAAGCGACACCGGCTGAAGTGCAGAGGTCCTCCACATACTGTCCAAGCGTACAGTCTGGTGTGAAGCCATCGTCGTAATCATGTTCTTGATAGAAGCCGAGGGCGATTATCTCAGGTCCAATACAGGGAGTAGAAGTTATCGTGTTGACCACGCTGTACAGGACGGCAATTTTTTGGTGATTGAATGGGTCGTAAAGATCGGTATTTCCAGAAAGATATTGCTCCCACTGACGTCTTTGTGTCATATACTGCTGCATAGCTCTGTCGTACTCGGATTCATGCACAGCAGATAAAAACTCTCGAACTTGCTTGGACGCCTTTTCAACAACCGTGTGAACCATCTCAGGTTGCACGAGCTCGAATTTTTGGCCAACTTCCCCAGCCTTTTCGTCATCCTCGGGGCCATCAGCAGTGTACTGATTTTTGAGCTTCTTGAGATGCCCTAATTTCGCTTCGTACTGGCGAGCCTGTTCAAGCAGATAGGGTTGCATGAACTTGACAAAAGGCGAAGAGGATAAAATCTTTGTCCGGTGATTTTCAACCATATCGCTGTAGTAGGAGGGAGCGGCATCATTGGACTGATCTTGATCGCCCGCCCGTTGAGTGGCAGAATCAACTCCAACGTTCTGTGCTTGCCGGTCGTCTTGCTCAGTGGAAGATGCAAGAGTACCAGTCATAGAAGTTGTAGGTGTATCTATGAACTCGTCTCGCATTAAACAAGTCTCTAGACGAAGGTTGTAGACAACATAAGTCATGAACTCAGTGATGCGTTTCAACCTCGAAAGTTCCTCACTCTTAGCCCCCCTCAGCACGATTGTGCATCCGAGTTCCTTTTGACATCCAGAAAGAAATATGTATGTTTTCTTCACATTGCGGTGCACATATGTCTTTACATCGAAGCTGCTGCAAGATCCTAAATGGGATGGGTCTATTGCGAGCTTGTCGACCGATGAAATCATCCTCGAATTCGTGCAGCGAGCAACAGCG